AGATATAAAAGTGAACCCAAGAAAATATACTTTCTCCCTTATTTCTTCCAATTTCGGTATTTTCTGAAACATTTCATTAATTTCGCTAAATAATGTTTCGAATCTTCTGATTCGAAACATGAGTCATTCACAACAGATACTTTCTGACGACAGTAATTTCAGTGACGAACACAAAGGAGAATGAAAAAATATCAGTTAATTATCAACTCGAATTCTAAAATTTGTTGATAGGAGAGAAATTTTTCACCCGATCCGTGAAATAGTGAAAGTGAAAACAATAAATTATGGAATTTCAAATATATTTTCAGAGATAAAATTGAACGGGGTATATTTTTAGGAGAGATTAATTTTTGGGAAAAAAAGATTTTGGCTTTCTACTTCTCCATCATTATACGAAAAAATGTGTGAGTCTTCCAAAAAAGCAAAGAAATATTCGGTTTCAAAGAAGAAACTCTATACAAAGATATGTAGATCATGCTAAGAAATAACTTTCGGGCACAAACTGAAAGAAAGAGCCCTTTCGAAACAGCTACTTTCATATAAACATCAAAATACACGAAAAGAATGTTTTCGAAACAAATGTTTTGATATCAACACTGAATTGAAAAAAAAATGTCTCTATTTAGTTTGTATTCCAAACATTCGTTATGGAATTGAATCAAATATAAATAAACAGGATTGCTACACAATATAATTAATGAAAGAGGTAAAATTTCACTTACATGGAATACTGTCATCTTCACTGCTAGACATCGATGTTTCACCGTGAGACACTTGCATAGGGCTCTTCAGTACCAATCTGGAAAACATTATGAGAAAAAACACTCAATTCATCCATAAAATTACGACATTATGTCACGGAATGAGTTTAATCTACTCATGTCATCGATGACAGTACGTGATGACATTAATTCACTTATTTGAATAAATCCCAGCCAGCGAAAACTTGTTTGAATTGAAAGGGGTAAATCAGTTTCAAAAAAGTAACTCTATACAAAGATGTGTAGATCATGCAAAGAAATAACTTTCGCACACAAACTGAAAAGAAAGCCTTCTGGAAATAGCTACTTTTATATATACATTGAATTACACGAAAGAAAAATACTTTCAAAACAAATACTACTATATACATAAACGCTGAATTGTACAAAATACACTTTCCTCCATTCAGTTTGTATTTGAAACATTAGTTATGGAATTGAATCAGATATTATTCACAGGATTCCTACACAATACACTAAATGAAAGAGCTGAAATTTCACTTACATGGAACACTGTCATCCTTATTGGTAGACATCCGATATTTCGCCGTAAGACACTTGCCATATCAGCTCTTTAGTCCAAATAACGAATGTTCGGGATACAAACTGAATAGATAAAAGTGTTATTTGTATCGAAAATTGGTTTATCAAGAAACTACCACATTCAAATCAAGCAGTTTGAATGTGAAATTTTTTCACTGAGATCGCTGTCTCCTTATGATTGCTTGTTTCAAACTTCGCTTGAAATCTGACTTAGCTATCCTAGATACTAAAAGTTTTTTTATTATTTGTCGTATCTCTTGCCAGTTGGTCAACATTTTCATTTCCTTTTGTGCCCGTATAAAATGTGACCCATACAAAGTATACGAGTATGTTTGTTTCTTGAACAACGTGGAGTACATTTTGATGACAATTGAAATTAGGTTGATAGGGTATATTGGAGATTAGGGCCATTGGTGAATTAAGAAATTCCGAAATGATAATTGTTGTATTACATAGTTATCAAGGCTGCAGAACCCCCGTAACGTTGTAGTTGTGAAATAAATCTCATAACGCACTCATCAATAGCGTACTGCTAGATTCAGTAGTATTGGAGCGTGTCAAAATTTTGTCTAATTTTGATCCTATTAAAGATTTATAAATATCTATTAAGCTGGTATATATAGTCTTCTTTCCAATTATCATTGGTTGAAACTGTCACCATGCTGCCGATTGTTTTTTTCTTCTGCAACATATTACTATATCATCAACATACAGTGTCGCGTCCACTGGATATTTACGATTGTCCAGAATTTGGTTTATTGCTGAAGCATCACGCTGAGAACTGAGTCTTCAGGCATACACGTACTTTTTACTTGCAGTCTATTTGTTGAGGTAAAGTTGTTTACACGAACCCGAAATTGACGGGCTCAATCGAATATGGAATCCCATTCTAAGAAGTTCAAGAATAGCAAACAGCATGACGGCAGGTAGAAAAGGGTCAATGAACGTTATTGACAATTCACCAAATCCAGGTACAGGTATTATTTCACCAGACTACCTTATTGACTATAAACACGCTTCACATAATTTACCTAATACATGTATTAGCACACCAGACTACCTGAGGAGTAATCATAAATACGCGTTAAGCAGCCGTAATATCCAGTCATCGGAGATTTTTACTCAGGATGTATAAACCTCTGAAGAAGCTAGCCACTCGCGCCAGCGAAACTTCACAAAAGAAATTCCAAAAATGACGGCCTTCAAAATAGTGTCAAAATAGTGACACTGAAAACATTGGCCGCGCAAGTATTAACCATTTTATGGTGTCAGTTACTAGTTCACTCATTATGTGAAAATTGGTATAGGTAGTTCAAGTCTGTTTCCTGATATCCAAAAAAACGCATTCAGTATTTTATATTTAGTTTCTTCTTGAGACTCACGCAGCGTTTTAACGTCTTCTGCGGGTTTTTTTCAAGTATAATTTGTTTTATATCAAAATGTATCCGATTTTATTTTCTCAAATAAACCTCTGGTGTAAAATTGATCTATCAAACATCATTTTCCACACCAGAACAGAAATTCTATCTCAATGTCAAGTATTTGTTGAAACGATATTTTATTAAAATTTAACTGAAGCTAGCTCACAAGCATGGACCATCAAAGGGGAGGTGTAGGGTAAAACCGGGATAGATGACCCAGATATCTTTAGGCGGGTAACCAAGAATGTTCCATGCCTTTCCCACATTATTTTAACTATAACACGTTCAAGTCTATTTCAAAATAATAAGAAGCAGATCACTGAGCAGATTCACCTATTGACAAAAATGCGAGATATCTAAGGGTCCTAAATTCACATATAGTAAGGCATACTTGAAAACTAGTTGTGAATCAAATCATCTAAAAGAACAATTCGTTCAGGCCAGTCTCATCTCCCTACGCTGTAGGTTGATGGACTGACACCTATCAGAAAACAACTACTTCCCTGGCTAATGCCACGAAAAGTGTTCGATTATATCCAACAGGTGTCAGTGCAGGATTCTTCACCGAAATAATTTCCGCATATGCTGTTGGCGATACGACTGCCGGATTCCATTTTCAATTATTGGAACACACTTTCAGACCGGTTTCGGGCTATTTGGCCACTCGTCAATCCAAGGTAGTGTCTATCATTAACATGAAGTCAATGATTTCCCATAATTGAAAATCGAATTCCTTCAGAGGACAAACAACATATTTGTCATCGCCCCATCTGCCCGTGAACGAGGTACCACATATCCAAATTTGCCCAGTCCCTCGTATAAGGAAAAAACTTCACAATAACGGAGTATGAAGTAGTGAGTTGTGGCTGTCCAAGAGCGTCATCTGTTAAAAAACAGTTTTTCTTCGCCGAAACAAAAATACTGTCTCTCTCTCTCTGTTTTGATGGGAGAAAAGTTTTTTTCAATAGATTCATCTAACACCAGAAGTTCCAAATTCAACTCTTTAAGAGATATTTCATCGGAAGAATGGTCACAACACTCTCAATATGTACGGGACAAAACTGAATATTAATAAGGGAGAAGGGTGTCATTTTCGGCTCTTCAACGACCCATATATACAGTAGGCTGAGTTTCACTATAATGCCTGATATAATCGTTTCTACTACCTTCACAAATTAATTTTCCTCGAAGTGAAAGATGTAGATCATGTTCTTCCGAGTCACATAGTTTGTCAGTCCTATAAAAAAATTGAATTTTTGAGTCGATCTCTGTAGGAGAAACAACTGTTTTCTTGAGCTCAACCGATGATAATCGTAAATGAAATAGAAAATTACAGAAACTGAGGTCCTCGAGGGAATCGTCAGGAAGCACATTTTTCTGAAAGTTGACTTTCTATTCACTTTTTGATCTAACAGATTATTGAAATTGTGAAAAATATTATTGGCTATCTACTTCTTTTTATAAAAAAATTCCAAAACAATGAAGAAAGCAATTGAGTTTAAAATAAACTGTTCACAAAGATGTGTAGACCACATGATGGAATTGGCCGAAACTTGGTAAAAATTCAAAAAACACCGTATTGTGAGATTTTCATTGAACAGATTTACAGAAACGCAACCCGTGTTCGGGCGTGTCTTTACAGAGAAGCCATTGTATGCCGAAACACGTGTTGCGTTTTCGAAAAACTATTTAGTGAAAATCTCACAATAAAGTGTTTTTGAATACGTTATGTGTAGATCATGCATTGCAGTTAGGTTAGATTAGGTCCAAAATGAGTGGGTCTATTCGACCCTTCATCGCAACCCGCAAGGGTTTATTGTGGTTCACACCTATTCACACTCGACCAAAGCCGATTAGTTTGTATAGTGGGTGGTCTTTCAGGTCAGATGGTAAGAGTAGGGCTCTGTCGAACTTGAAAAACCTGATTCGGTCCCCAGCGGGGCATGCACAAAGTATGTGCTCTGCTGTTACTTTCAAATACAAATTACGAGTACATGAAATAAAATAATATATGACAGAGTATCGATACAAAATTCCACTTCTTTTCCAGTTTGTGGTGAGTTATTTTCGTAACTGAATTGTTTTCTTCCTTTGAATGGAAGTTTTCCACATTTTTTTGTATAAATATGGAGAAGTAGAAGGCAAAAAACTGTTTTCCCCAAAAACTTCTCGTCCTGAAAATATTCCTCTTTCGATTATTGAAATTTACGTTACAATTTTTGTAATTGATGTTTCTTTTATTTTACCTCCCATTCACATCTTCTTTTCTTTTCAGATGCAACGAATTATGCCCACTACGTGTTCAACACGATGAAACAGAAAAACACTGGAAAAATAAGTTTCGAGGTAAATTTCATGTGTGCGAACATTATAACGTTATTTTTTGGTATAATGTTTATTCTGATATGTGAGTAACTATAGCTGAGACACATTTATTTTTATGGTTCCCCGTGTTTGATTATAATTTCAGATTAATGTCGGCACAAATGAAAACGTTACTGTAAGAGTGACTTTGTTTTGGTTTTGACCCAATGACACATTTACAACAGGATGATATTTCGTATCTATGTTTTCTGTCGTTTGGTATTTATTATATTCATGGCACCAAACACCAAAGATTTTACTTGGGTCAAATTACAAATTTTCATTTCTAAAATCATCAAAAAGTCAAAGTTGGACACTACTAGGACAAACTTCGAAACTCTTTCACGTATATCAAATTGCACCCTTGTTCAGGCAAAAATTACCAGAGAATGTAAACTTTCACGAACGGAGATAACTGTATCAAGGCTATTTTTTGAGTTTCTGGCCGTGCTCTGACGTTTCGTCTACTGCTGCGGTAGGCATTTCCAATACTGTCGAGTATTAATGTGTCTTCGAATAAGATAATGTGGGTACCTTTTTTGTTAAGAGATGTTCGGCCACAGCCGACTTGTCGATTTGTCCGAGGCGACAGTTTCTCTTGGGTTCGGAGAGACGGGTCCCTATACTTCGTTTCGTGATTCCGCTGTAGACCGACCCCCAGCTACACGGAATCCGATATACCCCTGGCGTTGCTAGAGGTTCTCGGGTCCTTCGCTGACCTGAGACTTTGCCTGATGGTTTTTGTGGGCCTACATATTGGTTTCACGTCGTGTTTCACAAAGATTCTACCAATCCGGTCTGTGACATTTTTAACATAGAGAAGGAAAGCTTTTCCCCTGGAGCCTAACTGGAGTTGCTTTGATGTTATCTCTTTTGAATCATATGGCCACTTCGAATTCTCTTTCGCTGTACCCATTACGTTTGAATGAAGAAGTAAATCACCTGAAAAATGCATCATCATGAGAAGATGCATTTTTCAGGTGATTATAAACGTGCGTGAAGAGTTAGTATTTTATTTCTGGTTAGGGAAAAGTGTTTCTATCAGATCCAAAAACAAAGCAGATCAACACCAGACTATGCTTTTAATATTCGCTATAGGTCCCATCAGTGGTGAACCACGATGCGACCTATTCGCTGAACCACGAATACATTAGAAGTTCCAACCTGGGTAAGTAAATCCGATTACATTTTTCTTAGGAGGACGACATATGTATATGGAATAGACAAAAGACTCCATTCAACATTATCAAAAATAAATGAGGCTCCTCAAGACGGTCTGTTACGAAACCACACTTCAACTGCCGAACGACACTTGTCCCCGGTGTTTCACAACAGCATTCATTGCAGGGTAACTAGTTACAACCAGGGCCTAGATACAAAGCAATCGTTATCCAGTAAGACACACAGCGCTATTTCAATCCACCATAGAGCTGCTAAGCTGAACAATGAATGCATTGCATATTGCATGTATGATCACATTGAATATACGGTGAAAGGATTACCTAAGCTCATCTTCAAATTCTATCAGCTCAGCAGTTACCGTTTATGATGCCCTAGCCAAGTCGATTTTACGGTATATGGGGAGGAATATTCAAATCCTCATTACGTAACTTATAAATGATCCAAAACTCACTCATGTTCAGAAAGAATGAACCTGCACTATATTCGGAAGTTCAGTGATAATATCTTAGTTGAAAGATATTTCAGTAGATACCGAAGAATCTATTAACAGGTTGTCAGACAACCAAAAGAAACTTACTATAAAAATAGATTCGAACAAGCTGATAACAAATCGAAAGAAACTTGGCAAGTAATTAATGACCTAAGAGGTGAATCTAATAAAGTACATGAAGTTTCACTTTCACCAAATGTTCTTAATGAATATTACTGCACTATTGAAGAAAAACTGACTGAAAGATTGACTACTCAGAACGACCCAATGGAACAATTCAAAAAACCCTTTATTTCTGAAACGTGCATTCTATATGACAGTGATATTCATGAACTGAAACAGGTGATTGTTTCCATTGGAAAAAAGTCGTCATCTGGTTACGACGACATTACAGCAAACATTTTGAAAAATCTCCCAGATAACACATCACAGCTCTTGACCAATATTATTAATGCATCATTTCAAGCAGGAAAATTTCCTGAATTCCTGAAGGTATCATTGGTAATACCACTATATAAAGGAGGAAATCAGGACGACCCCTCGCATTATCGGCCTATTTCCCTAATTCCCACATTAGGAAAACTTTTAGAAAAACTAGTCAAGCTGAGAATAACTGTATTTCTGTCAAAACATAAAATCATCAATGAAGAACAGTTTGGCTTTCAAAGTAATAAAGGCCAACATTGTTCCTCATCTACGTCAACCATTTGACAAGTATAAATATTTCAGGGAAATTCACACTATTTGCAGAGGATACTACCATTTTTTGGCAATCGGACAATGCAAACGATTTAACTAAAATCATATCCAACGATATGATGAGAGTGAAAAATTGGTGTGATTCAAATCGTCTGTCTCTAAATATTTCGAAAACTAATATAGTAACTTTCAGATGCGAACTTGACAATATACCCATTGGGAGTAACATCATCGAGAACAAAAGTAGCCTAAAATTTTTAGGAGTACATATCGATAGTAAACTAAAATTTGAAGAACATATTTATGCCTTGTGTAACAAAATGTCCTCTGGATGTTATGCAGTCAGAGTAGTATGAAAATAAATGTACTTTGTTGTTACATATAATTGCATTATAGATTAAGTGAAACTTTGTCCACAAGATCAATCTTATGACAATAAAGTATATTCTCTCTCTCTCTCTTATAACACTCAAGCATTATATAAATAGAGTAGAATATGTAGTGTAAGAAAACTGTATACTTTCCATTGTATTTTATAGACAGCCAGTTTTAGGAGTACATTTGTTCAGAATATAAATAGTACTCGCTTACACACTTCTCAGAATGCAAAGGTTTCACGATGCCGACCCACTCACAATCAAAAATCTATTACATTCATTGGACCAAAACTGTAAAATTCTTTACCACTGTTTCTATAGCAGCTTTCACTGCAGAGAAAGTAGATGGTACCAGAGCTCAAAAACGGTTGATGTTACAGCTCTTGACTTTGCAACAGATCGATATGAGGAGTCTTTTCTTTCTTGAATGAGCAAGGTTCGAGTCCCCTGTCAATTCGATAGGTCTTCGTTTCTTGTTCATTCGCAGGGTTGTTTTTCAAGGGCAGTTGAGCAGACTAGCATGAGATCTATGGACGGACGAAACAGCGCTGTTTTGTGTTGAATCACAAATGATTCATTTCTGAGCTCAGGTTTATCTATTTGCCTACTTGTTGATGGAAGCTGCAGAGAGCGAGTGCTCATAAGGCGGTCGATATTGAAAATTTAATTTTGATTAGATCGCCAATATTAAGGTTTTCTGTCGATTCCGTATATGACGTCTTCGTGAAGGAAGATGTAAATGCTTACAAGCACTTTTTCCAGTCATCAGAACTGCAATACTCTTCTCGATGCACATTTCATCACCAAGTTGGCATTTTCAGAAAATAAAAAACCACATCGTAACTCTGAAACTGTTATTTCTTACAATAGAGAACAATAGAATTTGGCTTATTATTTCCTGAAAACGCCAACTTGGTGGTGAGTGATGAAACGTGCGTCGGGAAGAGTATTAAAGTTCGGATGATTGGAAAAAGTGTTTGTTTTTGGATTTATTCTACGCCAAAGGGTTCAGTTTGAACTTTTGAAACAATTACAGTTGATAAAATAATAACAATTGTATAACTTGGCACTGGACGTGTTCCGAATTTGAAACCTATTGATTTAAATAGATAACTATTTTGCTCATTGTTTTTTCGTTTTTCCAATAACATTTATGAAAACCTTTTTTTTTTGGTACCTTGGGAGCTGTCTGACTTGTCCATTAGTCCAAGTCTCCAGGAAACACTGCAGTCTCTTGGGCTTATTGCGTTTATTCTCCCATATCCTCATGACACCCATTCCATCAGTCTCGTTCCCTGTACTAGTTTGTACAGGTTCCGTGTTGGATGTTCGTTATATTCTTCTGGACGTAATTTCGTACGTCCATATATTTCCTGCCTCCTGTGATTCAGTGCCTCACATTCGCATAAGATGTGTAGAGCTGTTTCTATCCCTTCGTTGCATAATCTGCAGATGAGGTATCCGTTGTACAGCCCCATTTTATTCAGGTGTCCTCTAAGCGGACAATGACCGGTTAGTAACCCTGTAATTATTCTGAGCCGATCCCTACTATATTGAAGTAGTTCTTCGGTTNTCAGTTTGGAATCTAGAATTACTCCCAGATATTTAACCTCCTTCGACACTTGTATTTCATCACCTTGAAGTTTCAGAGATCCGAGACCCTCCGTTTTAGTCCTCTTGGTGAATGCTACTATGGTCGATTTGGATGGGATTATGTTAAGCCCTTCTTCTTCGGTCCATTTTTTTATAATATTCAGGGCCTGCTTCTGAAAACCTTTCAAATGTTTTCTGTAATCTGCGTCCTATTAGGTCATGGACTAGGTTGGCCTTAAGGACAATCCGGGCCTGGCTATGTTCTCTTCTAGCTTACAAAATCAACTAATATATAAACTAAAGCTTGTAGACTATGTTTTTTCATTGCAGATTATCAGGAAATGCAATATAATCTGTGATATAGTTGAATGTTGGTTGAATGTCATAAAAGGCATGGAATGATTCAACATCAACAGTATCTAAATTATACGTGAAATGTCATTTCACGTTCTGCAATCTACAACTATCATTTCCGTATAATTACTATCTATTAAAACTTAACCTCAACTAATATTCGAGCAATATAATAGTAATAGAGTTGATTGATTGCGCAAAACGGATATTTGTAAACAGAATAGTTCCAACTCAATGTTTTGGATAAACCCACTTATGACAATAAAGTATATTCTCTCTCTCTCTCT